AGTAATATTTATGCTAATTCTGTCTCTCAGACAAGTAGGGATAAGAAATTAATCTTTATTGACGTCTTAATAATTCTCTTTTGCGTTATATGACATATTTTGATGAAACTGGCCTGGAGACAATCAATATTCTCCTGCTAGGAGTAATGTGACACTATGTCAATAGCCAGAGGAAAGTATACAGTGCTGTAGTTCATCTTGGCATTGGTCCATATTTACCTCAAACTGACAGATTCTACTACGTATTGAGCTCTGAGGGAGCACCAGCTACGCGAGTTAGCCAAAATAAACTCAAAACCTATGATATGGTCCCCCAATCCATCTCAGGATGTTTACAGTCATGCTTAATTTTATTTTGTTACATGGGATTTCAAAGTTTCTTCTGCCAAAGCAATGCCGCAATGGAAAAATGAGGGCTGATTAGGAGAACAAATTAGATTGCAAAAAAAAAAAAAAGATCTGTCTGTGAAATAGTATTGGCTCTTAAGGAGTTATCCAGTGAACCACTCGTCTTACAACAATATTCAGGAACACAATGCTACAAAACTTGTAGGAATTTATTCTGCCCGCTGTAGCATAAGAAGAACCTTTCTGCTGGAACCTCTCTGAGCTCGTCCAGAGGGGAGCGTTTTGAAAATAACTGCTCAAGAGAGACTGATCCAAGGCTCTGCATTTAATTGGACAAGGGAAGGGGAGGAGAGGGGAGCCAGGGGACAAGACAAGGGCCAGATGAGGGAGAATCTGTGATCTGAGCATTCTTTCCATGCTGCTCGAAAACATGAGCGTTGGCGCCGTGCCTGCAGTCGTGAACCGAGCTCGTATTAATTTAGGGGCTTTAAAAGGCAACGCAGGGAGTTGTACCAGTTATTGACAGGTAGCCTCAGTTTGTGCTCTGATTGCCATGACAATCGGTCGTGTCTATTTGTAAAGCTGAGAGCGCATCACCCACTTTTCGATGGTAAGTTTTTAAAGATAGCTTTTCAAATGGCCGATCTGCGACGAAGTATTTCTGTACACGTTGCGTGTCCCTCCACTGACTTCTTTCACAGCTAATTTTAGTACAAAAGTAAAGAGCTGAAACATCATTACAAAAGATCTGGGGTAACTTAACCCGAGGAGCGGTGTCCACTTATTTGTGTTTTTATAGCTCTAAGGTAAGCATGACAGACAGCCTATGAAAACATATTTTTTACAGTCATTGTTACTCTAAATGACCTCAGGCTTTTACACGGCAAAAGCAATAAAGCGGCTTAAGCCTGTCTGAAACACAAACATCAAATCAGAGAGCTTTGAATTAAAAAAATAAATAATTAAAACATACATTTCCGGCTTAAAGGTACTCATGAAAATGCGGGGTTAAATCTGTGGGTGCGGACTGTTTATCTGGAACATATTGTTAGACGAATTTAGGCGTTTGTGCCACTTTATCAAACAAGAAATGTTATTGTAACGACGGCTGCGAAACTACTCAAAAGTTCTGGTAATGATTATAGTAGTGAGAGGCAGCCATAAAAATATAAGTGGTGAGATTGAATGTGTTTGTCTTGGGCAATTACTTGAGTGTGGTGCATGTGTGTGATTATGGATTGGCACGGTCCCTAAAGAACAAAGAACGTTTTCCATATGGAAGAGCCGCCAGTTCAAAACACAACACAAAGAGTCAGTCAGGAGATCGGGTCACATTTCTTAAATAATTTAATTGCAAAAAGGGTCTTTTAAAAATATTTCTACAAGAATGCATTATCATTTTTTAGTAATTTGTTGTGTATGTCTGCACCATTAAATACATCTCAATGCTTCTCAAAGAGGAATTAACAATTGCATTTCTTTAACCAACCCCTTCCCTGCCCCTATTACACTAAACATTTACAGTACTCTCTGAAACATGTTGCTTATTTTTATCTTAAAAAAAGAGGGGGAAAAAAGTGACCAAAAGACTGGTGAGCTTGTTAGAGGATAACAAAAAGACTAAATATATTCATTTAAAACAGACAATTTAGGAAACAAAGCACGAGAGTTGTAAGTATGAGCAGGGTGGGGGGGGGACTTTGGGTTGTGTGGGTGTGTGTATGGATTGTGATGATGCAAAGGTTGTAAATCAGGGAAGGAAAGGTATAAGGAATGTTTGGATAGTTTGGATATTGGCACACAAAGATATAACTAAACTGCTGATTAAACTGTCTCTGCAGAAAAGGGCATTTCTTTTAACCGCCACACACACTGACACACACACACACAGACGCACACACAGGGAAAAGTGACAGTCCATCTTATTTCCAACCTCAGTAAGTCACAGGGATGAATAAGAAACACAGAGGAGCAGGTTCCATCCTCGATGTAAATGCTTTATGTGAAAAACTCTTGTGGATGCCATTGAAAATAAAACAAAAAAAAACTTAGAGATGAAATGTTTGCAGTTGAAGTGGTGGTGGGTTAATCTTTTAAATATGTGCAACACTGCAAGTTGAGCTCATCACTCACTGCCGGTTGACTTTGGTGAACACGAGTCCAGACCCCTGAAAACCATGTGTACTTCATCAATAGTTCATGAAGGCTCCAAAATGCCATTTTTCATGAGTTGGCATGTCGACCATCTGATTGTGTTTAGCCTCATTCTTCCACCACCTTTTCGTATTTTCTTGTCCATCAGCTGCATTTTGTCTGGTGCCACAAACAAGCTAGCAAAACTGGGCTAAACTGTCTGAGAACTTGAGCTGATTGAAGGAGAGAACAGTAATTAGTATTCATGGTAATCCCACATTTCTGATTGCAGTCATTTCTTAATGTGGACTCAATCACTTTTTCTAATTGCAGCATAACGGAGGAGGACACAGTATTCGCACACCACAATGTAAAAAATATATAATGTTGCCCAATGTGGTGCTTCTTAGAAAATAGGAATGCACCACTTCCGTGTTAAAAAAAACTGAGACTTATTTACTGCACTGCATTAGCACACAACTTTAAAACTACTATTTGAGTGTGCACTACTTCTGTAACAGGTTAGTAAGCTCTTAACAGACTATTAGCAATAGTAAAAACATCCATATGTGGACAATATAGAACAACATTAAATAGGGAGTATGTTGTTTTGCATAATGTCCTCTTCTTCTGAGGGAACTTTAGACAGGCTTGAAAAAGCTGGCAATACACACTGCATGACCAGAGACATTGGACTTTCATTCAATACCTAAGGAACTGTATTCACATGTTGTTCTGATCAGTCCCAACCGAAACAATATGGAGGCTATCTGGTAGATCACAGCGGTGATGGAGCCTCACTCTGTAATCCATCACCTTCACACACCCTCTTGTGTGAAGCACAAGTAGCCGGGGTTTGAGGGATGCAGCTGCTATCAGTTAAGTGAGGAAGAGGGGGGACTGAGAATTTTGGCTGTGTGCATGCCTGAGCTGTTGATCCTGCGCCGTGCTAATCATGCAGCAGGCAGAGCTGAGACAGAATGATTGCAGCACAGACAGGAAATGAATGGGAGATAATGATAGGCCCGCCTGCCCTGTGTCTGCGTATGCCTGTGCGCCGCACGTTCATATCCTGGCAATTCCCAAATGGTTGCTGGATTAATCGACCTGACACACAAAGACCAACGGGTTTCTCTTCTGACAGCTCCGGATTTTCTAATGAGGATCCTTTTTTGAAGGAGGGCGACTGCAGACCCCGGAGTGGCGCTCATCCGTGAGCATGAACGATGTTAAAGGAAGGTGAACTGTGTACTTGGACGTACATTTATCTCGGGCTGGACTTGCTCCCAAGTAAGCACTTAACAGCCCCACATAAAACAGATTTGACAACAGTTGAGTGGTTTGCAGGAATTAACCATAATGTGCCTGGAAGACAATTAGTAACAGCCCAGTGCTCTACAAACGTTCTTTATGTTGAGGATGAAAACCGGTGGGGGGAGCTTAATATCAAGTTCTGGTGGCACACAAAAGCCTGAACACACCTACTCATTGTCAACGCTGAGACAACAATATATGCAGAACAATTAGGTTAATACCTGTGAATTGAGATGGGTTGTGTTCATTTCTTCTTCTCTAACTCATAATTTGCCCTCCTCTTTGTCGTCATCCCTTTCACATCGTTAATCCAACTCACGCAAACATTTCAGAAAAAAACCTTTTCGTCAAAAACACCATGTTTCTTTTGTCATTTGTCTTTTTTTTTTTGTTACAAAACATGTACAGGCTGTTTAGAACAACAACAAAGATACAATATCCAATTTATATGCAATTTCCTTAGTTTAATAACAATCAATTCCAAGGCAAATCCTCTTTCTTAGTTTCTTTTCCATCTGATTGTTCCAAGTCCACTCTCCCAAACGGCCTCGTCCATCTGGTTGTTGGTGGGGGATTTTGGGTTGGTGGATGAAGTACAAATAAATACATAGGGCAGGGTATCAAGAAATTAAAACAAGATTTGATTATTCTAAATCCAGATAATAGTAAGTAGAAATGAGGGTGTCCATCATGGTTTCTCTCAGGTAAATGTTGTGTGTGTATGTACGGTGTGTCCAAAGTCCATTTTTGGATCCAATAAAAAAAAAACGGCTGTCCACAGAGTATAGCGTAATTGTTTCAGATATAGTTGCTCCGGATTACAGTTCAATTCAGTTCATGCGTTAATTCTCCATGGTGGCAAATAGCAGAAGCTGTATTGTACAGTATATTTGTGTGCACTAGATAACACCCACACATCCAGGCACACCTAATCACACGTACACGCATACATGCACACGCACACGCACACACACACAGGTACAAAAAATGCACACACAAGGCCAAAGGGTCTTTCAATAGTCATAGCCATAGTCCTCATCTCCCCCCAGTCACAAAAAGTGTTCAGCGGAGGGGGGCTACTTCAGTTTGACCGGCCACTTTAAAACCACAAGTCTCCCAAAAGTGTGTAGGAAAAAAAAAGAAAATTAATCGACCGTGGACAAATAAAAGTAAAAATATTATTTATGCGCCAGAACACTGTTGATAAGCAGGTGTTCCCAAAACTGCAGAACTATCCTGAGTCACTCCAGATTAGAGGGACATGGTTATCTGATGACCCAACAGGTGTCCACAACTGTGGCTGCCTTCCTTTGACCTTCTTGATCTCTGTCATCCTCTTGACCTGTAACTGCAGCCCATCTTGAATCCTTCCCTCACCACCTACCCCCTCTCCAGGAAGTGACCTTTTTAGGTAACACACCTTCAATATGAAGATGAAGAATATAACACATGCACAATAAAGAAAACTTCTACCAGGGATAGAATTGTCCTCTATCCTCCAAGGTCTGACACACATCTGATTTTTGAAAGTTTTTTTTCCGCTTTGTTTCTTATAATTGAAGTGATATTTGCACATCACTGTTTTTTAATATATTGGTGTTCATTCTTCAGTGTGTATTCAATCCAACAGAGCTGTGTTGAGAGGTCAAGGGAAGAGGCTCTTGTGTTACGATCAGAGTGTGACTAAGGCCAACCTCACTAAAAAAAACCCATGCGTGCAAACATCAACCCACTCATGGTGATGCACGCACGGGAAAAAAGGGATTAAATCTTTCTCTTCTTTCACAAACAAACTCCATCCGGATGGGGGAAAAAAAATGATGATAAAAAACAAAAAGAGTTGGGACAGGAAATGTAAGTGGTAGTGAAATAAAAGAAAAAAATATATATTCAGAGGCACTGCATGCCAGTTTTATATTGTGTAATTGGCAGAGATGGGTCAGGCAGCTAGGGTTTTCCAGCGGACCTCTCTGGCACAGTTCCCTCTTTTCCTGTCTCGCTGTCCTTTGACTGCATCCATCTGTGTGTCTTGTCACTCACACCTGTACAGGAAGTGTTTGGTTCATCTGTAGTCTCATGTCCTGAATGCTACCAAGAATCTTCTTTTGATGGCCGGCCAACGTCACCCCTATCCGAAGTAGGTCCCTGAGGGGAGAGCAAAAATAAAAACAGGGGGCTCAGTCATGAAAAGATTAGATAAATAAGTTAAAAAAAACAGTACATATCAAGCTGAAGTCAAAAACAGGTTTTGCTTTCCATTAGTGAAAGCAAACTTTGACAGGTGGGGACAGGGACTAATCATTCTGGCTATCAACCGTAAAATGGCGTCCTGAGAGTGTGCTTTCAGAATAGAGACAGTCGGGAAGCTGGTCTGCATGCTTCTGTTACCCAGCAGGCGAGGAGGGCCACACGAGCCAAAAGGCCATAATGATGGTTAATGATTAAAGACCTAATTTAGCTACTGTTTGGCAGCTGGCAAAACTCACGCAAACTCCTGATTTATCTTTAGAAAATAAGGAAACAGAAGAAAACTATTCTCTCTCTTTTAATTTTTTGTGTTGAATATGATTTCATTAGAAGCTGGACACAGGTGCACAACCTTCTTAAGTCTTTACACCCAAATCCACTAACCAATGCACAGGGTATAAGAGTATTTACACGTACTGCACATCCACACAACATGTCCACCGTCCCCAAATTGTGGTGTGCCCCACAAATACATGGCGCAATTTAGTTTTTTCTTCATATTTTGCTATCCCCATCAGTGCAGCAACAGAGGATGAAATGATAATAAATGGGTACCATTAGAGAAATTACTGGCCATTAAGGGCAGCAGAGAGCCACAGTACACCACACCTGTCAGCCCAGACAAATTGAAACAAATTACCCCCACCTCCCCTACCTATTATGCAGCTAATGAGAACGATTTATTTATCATTATAAACCTAATTCATTTATTTGATCATCACTGGCCTTCAATTTCCATGGCTTTCATTAGATCATTTCCTGTCTGTAAACACAACAAACACCGGGTAGCTCATCAGCCAGAGATTGTAGGTAAGGAAGCAGCTAGCTGACAATTAGTATCACCCTTTGCATACCTCATTTCTATTTGTTGATGTAATTTCTTTGCTTCTAAAGTAGATGATTGTGGTTATTCTTTCAACTACTGTAAAACAACATAAGCGCCCCATCTTATAACCAATTGATGGTCATCCTAAACCTAAACCAGCTCTTATATTTTACAAATGCTACCATGTTCACCAATAAATATCAAACTGAACTGAAACCTATCACAAAAAATGTAATATTAATCGTCAGGATACTGCAGGATACAGTTAAAATAAAACTGTGTATCAGCTGTGAGTTATTTTGAAGGCTATCGGCATGTAATTCCCTCTAAAGCTGACTCTGCTCAGAGCCCAGTCTTCCACATCATGTCTAATTTATTCAAAAGATTTTATTTTATTTTAATTCCTTCAAGGTCAATGCGTGTAACTCTACGTTGACTCTCAAACTCGGCCCAGTCAATCACGTTAGACCTGATTAGCTCCACTCACTCTGCTGTCATCTGGGCCACCAGGTCAAAGGAAGCGAATCCGGCGTTGACGAAGTTGTCACGGTAGCGACTCATCTTGATGGCGTCCAGCCAGTCCCCCACAGTGGTGAAAGTGGTATAGTCTGGCACACAACGGTCAAGCAAGGGCTGGGATACCCTACATTGGGGGATGAGGGGGGGAGGGAGGAGAGAGAAAGAGAGACAGAGAGAGAGAGGGTTACGGTCGTCACTCTGCTGCCTCTACTGGCAGGCCTCACCCCATAACGCCTCCCCTACTGAGCGCCACCTCTCCGTGTCTCTGCCTCTCCTCCTCTTTCTCCCCCTCCTTCTCCACTCTCCTCCTCCATACAAAGTGCGAGGGGGTTGTGTGCAACAGGCCTGGGAAATATGTCGGGGTTTGAGGGCGTGCTTTTATGACTGTGGAGAGACTGGCTGGAGGCTTGGTGCTGGATGCTGGCGCTGCAGCCGGTGAGGCGTGGTGATGTTTTTTTTCCCAGGGCACATATCAAAATCTAGTCGTCAGTAACACGCGTTGTCCTTTGCGACCACAACGATTGACTGGTGTTATTACTGTAACAATTGTAGTAACTCATTTATTACTTTAATTAATTTAATTAGTCTTTCCCTGTCATGCAAGTGTGACAAAAAATTGCTATGTTTCCAACTCTACATAACGGAGTTCCTCTGCTTCTGTATCACTTCCTGTTCTCCTTGTTGTAATGACACAAGGAGTGTGTTTCATCAGTACTGGCGAAAGAAAAAAACGACAACAAAGAACCGAGACTCTGTGCGGTTTTACCGATTTGTACTTATAACTCAACTGCAAATGTTGTTTGAATCTGATCTGGGAAGGCTGGATTCCATGTGGTTTTGCTGGTCAGTTTAAATCAAGTTTGTATCGTTGTTGTAAACACAAGATTATCCAGCATGCTAGAGGAGTTCAACCTTTTAGCACATAATTACTGTATTCATGGGTCATCTCTCAGGACACACATAAAAGGTTGAGGCACGTGCTTGTGCTTGATGTCCATACAAGGTTGCTTCAACAGAAGGATCACGGTTGCATCGCATCCCGAAAGAGGTGGACAGACCTATTCTTCTAGGAGAAGAATAACTTTCAAAGGAATGTAAACACAGATGTCGTTCACGTGCGCATGTGGTTGCACATCAAGACTGACTCATGATGCCCTGGACTCTGGAAGAAGTGACTTAAAATGGCTACTTGTGGATTTCATTTCACATAGATGTATTCACTTGTGATGTGGTTATTTTCAAAGCCTTGTCTGGGCCTGAAAATGTGTTTTGTCTGGTTTGAACTTTTGCAGCACACCTGTTGAAAGCCCAAAAAGGCCTCTCTTAAAAAAAAAAAAAAAAAAAAATCCCCGGACTGATCGATGCCACAGATAGACAGGCCACCTTGGGAGTTTTAATAAAACTGTGCAACAACTCAAAGTGAAGTAGAGCGGATGAACAAGAGTGGAGGTGGAGAGGATGACGGGGAGGTGAGGGGAGGTAGGGGAGAATAAACAGTTGAGGGAGTGGGTCCAGAGAAAGAACACCACTGTCTCCTCTTTTCTCTGCTCTGCTGATCCCTGTCATCCTTTTTGATGGCATTAGATTCATTGACAATTAAAAGAGGAATGGAGAAAGAAAGAAAGAGAAAAGAGAAAAAGGCATGAAGGGGGAGTTAATAACAGTGATACAGAGGCCCCATTGAGTGGTGTAGATGGAGTGATTTTTAATAAGGCCTGTGCTTCGGAGTCGACGGCCTCAGGCTGCTGTTAACTGCAGACTCTGGCCTCTCTTAATTGAGTATTGTTAGTCCTCTTTCTCTAAAGTTGGCTTAGGAAGGGTCCAAAGTATTGCTGGCCACATGTGAGCCACAAGCAGAGACACAGCAGGAGAGCTGGATAATCCTGTGAGTAAGATTGCTACAGGCCGAGCCTAAAACTCACGAGAAACTGTGTCGGGCCTAACTGGGGACCGTCACAGTCTCTCCAAAGGGTTTACTCGCTGTTTTACATTTAGAGAACTTCAGGGATTTGATGTGGTTCATTTCTCTTGCGCGAAACTCTGATGAGAGCACAAACTCAGACAAATGCAAACATCAAAATGACTCATGATACCCAAGCCAGAATAGCTCAAATCAACAAAGCTCTTTTGATTATTTTCCATTAAACACGTATGTAATGGACCTACACAACAAGGACATCATGTCAGAAAGTATTAGCCAGCTACAGCCAACCAGGAACACTGTGTCATCTCTCACTCCTCCCTTGTTAGGTTTGGTGGCAGGAGGCCACTTCCCAACTGGCCCGTTTAAAATCTCGTTAGCGGCTAATTAAAAGGCGCTCCCATCTCTTTTTTGCATCTCCTTAATCGAACTAATTAACTGCAAGCTTAATCTTCTAAGAACGTCACTACGGCTCCCAAACGAGACCCTGCTTTCCCTCATGAGCCCAACCCGGGATAGTCTGTGGCCCTCCCTCAAGACAGAAAGACCCCAATGCTGGGACAGGAAGGTAGGTCACCCCCTTAACTGTATGCTCCAACTCTGCAGTCTTCAAATTCTTTCCAAGAAGCAAGTTTCAAATAAAGATAAATCAGCTAAATGTAGATGTGACATAATTGATTGAGCTCCCAGCTGGTGGCTGAACTGCTTTAAGGGCTGTATTGAGCTATGGTAATTTGGATTTGCATAATGGCTTAGCCTGCATTTGTGAGGACTACTGATTTGTATAGAAATAAAGCTGCACTTTATAGGCATTAAAAGAGTTAAACCCAGATATAGAATATTTTCATACTACACCAGCTCGGAGCCAGCGCTAACTGATAAGTCAGGTGACTGGCATTAAACATAGTTGCCAGGTACCTTATCTTCTCATAAATGTCTGAACTGTTAGCTGCAACATATGAGTAAATGAATCGGGAAAATTATTAGATAAAGGTAATGATAAACCAACTTAATCTCAACAATGGTAACTGATGGAAAACTAGAAAGAGATTCAGTATTTCTCTTTGCCTGTAAGTAATAAGTAAAACCTTTTGGATCACACCATTTTGATGTTTTTGAGCATAAATGGAGAATCGCATTTTTTAAATCCAGTGGTACATAAGACTTACCCTGTGGACTGTGTGCTGTTAGTGACCACTTTAAGGCTGGCAGCATTGCGAATAAGCTTATCCAGCGTGGCTACGATCTGGGTGAATTTGGGTCGAAGGTTCCTCTCCTTCACCCAGCAGTCCAACATGAGCTGGTGAAGGGCTGTGGGGCAGTCCATTGGTGGAGGCAGTCGATAGTCCTGCTCCACAGCATTTATCACCTGAGGGAGGACAACAGAGAAATCAGTTATCACTAAACTGGTGTAGGGGGGTAGACAGACCACCAAAGGAGAGCACGAGGTGAGCAGATAGAAATGGTGAGTGAAGGAGGACAGATAGGACAGGATGATGGAAAAGTAAGAGACAAAAAGGAAAACCTGCCACAGGCCATTAAATGATCTAAGTGCCAGAAAGAAAAAACTATCTGTGAAAGCCTATTCTTATAGCAGAACCATGAAAGCGAATGAAAGTTTCAGTTCTTCAGTGTCACACATATTTTTTTAATAGATTGTAATATCCAGCTGTGTATTTCACAATAAAGAGGAAAAACAGGGGAAAAAAAGATAGCATTAGCTTACATCTTGATTGCTCATGTCCCAATACGGCCGCTCGCCATACGACATGACTTCCCACATGACAATACCGTAGCTCCACACGTCACTGGCTGAGGTGAATTTCCTGTAGGCAATAGCCTCAGGAGCCGTCCAGCGGATGGGAATTTTCCCTCCCTGTGGATATGCGAATGAGTAGGTGAGCATGAAATACTGGAGGGATGGAGCACAGACACAGAGCCACACACATACAAAAGGGGGAGAGAGAGGGTGAGAAACAGTCTAAGGGAAACATTGAAGCACAACACATGGGTGCATGCTCTAGAGCCCAAGCACCACATACACACAAGGTTAGTGAGCCTTTAGACAAAAATGACGCACACAAACACATGAAGCTGTAACAATACCTATTGTAATACAAACAAACTTTTTTAACATCAAAATATCGTATTGTGGGTGACATAACTGTTATTGCAGACCACCAAATCACCACTGGAGCTTTCTGTCATTAAGAAAGTTGTCAGGCTTTGTTTTGCTTTGCTATTGTAAGGTTTACACATTGGTAGGATTTTCCGTGAACACAAACAGGTCTCCTACAAATATTGACTTATTTGAAATTTTGCTGTGATGGCCTCTGAGAATAGGATTAGAATGTATCTTTTTCAAAGTGACAAGTTTTTGTCATTTCTTTTAGATATTGATCAGTTCCATGGTATCATGGCATTCCATGCCAGGTGGCATAAGGCTATCATCTTATGCCACCTTTTGTGATAACACAGTGCAATTAGATTTTTCATTAACATTTAAACTCTTATTTCCCAAATCAATTTCCCTGCATTTTCAGCCGTTTTTGTTACCAATCATTAATGATCATTTCAGTCCAAAAAAATAAAATAGAGATACATTGATGTCAAAATGGTTACATGCAACAGCCCTAAACACTTATTAGAAACATGCATACAACAGAAAAAAAGGGGGCGGGGGCTCACCAATGAGCTGGTGTAGGTTGGATCCGTGGGGTCATCCTCGAGGAAACGAGATAGGCCAAAGTCTGACACTTTACACACCAGATTACTGTTCACTAATATGTTCCGGGCCGCCAAGTCTCTGTGCACGTAGTTCATGTCTGACAGATACTTCATGCCAGCGGCGATTCCACGCAGCATGCCCACCAGCTGGATCACAGTGAACTGTCCATCATTGAGCTGACAGAGGAAGACAGAAGGAGAGAGAGTTAAACTGGTCCGTAGATCAAGGTTGAATGTTCAAAGCAACAGGTTTTTATTTTTTTCTCTCTATTATAATTTACCTTTCCTCCCCCAACCTGTCCCTCTATTTTCAGTGACTCTCCCTGTGTTTGCATGCGTCTCCCGTAACTTATCTTTCATCTGCCATCTTATCACACTTTTTTTTTTGTAAATCTATTCCCCATAGCTCCTTTTCTTTAGATCTACTTGTATTGCTCCTTCTTCTTTGCCAGACAATGTATGATATGACTTTGAGGCAAAGATTCATTGGAGACTGAGCTCTTTGTAGATGTCACCGACTGCCTGAATGCCGGATTTGTCGTATATCCGCTGTGGCTTTTGCGGCTGAGTTTAATACGACACTTTAATGCTCTGAAGAAATAGAGATAACTAAAGAGAAAGATGGAGCCGATTTGGTTGAGCTTATTTACTAAGTAGCTCTGCATAATTGATGGAATCGCACATGCATTTTTTATGAGGTGTGGCTAACAACATAGCTATTGTATCCTTGTAAGAAATGTGTCTGTTTGCATCCGTTGTTTTTTTTTTCCTCACCCTAAGAAAAGAATCCAGAGCCCCATTTTCCATGAACTCTGTCACAATCATCACTGGCCGACTCTTGGTGACCACACCCTCCAGACGGATAATGTTGGGGTGGTCAAACTGGCCCATGATGGAAGCCTCGGACAGGAAGTCTCGTCTCTGGCGGTCAGTGTATCCGACTTTGAGAGTCTTGATGGCCACGATGATTTCTCTGCGCCCGGGCAGCTTCAGGCGACCGCGGCATACCTCACCAAACTCTCCTGTGAGAGTCCAGGCGAGACAGCCAGAGAAAAAGCAAAATAGGGACAGGAGAGATGGAAGAGAGGTATGACGGAAGAGTGGAGGAGAGTGGGGGACAAGAAGGGAGAGGGGACAGTTTACTGGTTAGAACCAAGGAGCCAGGGAGGGTGAGCAGGAGGGTTGAGGCAGGGGGTACTGCAAGAGAAGCCAGGACTCTAGGCCAGTCTTAAAGGATGGTGGTGGGATGGGGTGCGTACAATAGCTTTGTACTCTTAGGCTAAGCATTAAAATAAATTCGTGAGCATGAGGCATGTAAATAGAAGTGGAGCTGGAAAAAAAAAGCTAAAGCTGGAATGTGAAAAAATGATGGAAATACGGGCATAGGATGAGTCAAGCTGAGGGAGCAGAGGTGGAAGGGGGTTATGGATCGGGGAGGCGGTGCTAATTTTCAGAGGGGCAGGGAAAGTGGGCACTGGATGAGGAAATGGGTGGAGACAAAAGCTTGGGGCCGCTGGGAGTTGTGGACGCTTTACGTTTTGATTCTATACCAAGCGTGTGCGGGAACGCCAAAGAAATGAGGCAATGAGGATGGCATGTATCGGTGAGAGCGTAAAGGGGACAACGTGGGGGAAGTTTTGGGGAGGCGGGATCAGGTTAGGGAGGGGCGGAAGGGAGGGATTGAGTCGGGGGTAGGGGAGACGGTAGGGGACAGGGAAGACACGGGTTGGGGGTTTGTCACTTTAAAGGCGAATGCTGGGAAGCGACGGGTTTCAAGTAGCCTCAGCAGTAGAGGAGCTGTCGAAGTAGTAGTAGTAGCAGTAGTAATGGTAGTAGCAGAAGCAGCAGTAGGGGATTCCCATCTCTGCCATCACAAAGTCCTCCGATTTTTTTTCGGATACATAAACTAAAAACAAAACTCAACTTCACATGGCATAGTCCTGCAGCTTTTAAGCAGATATATTACTTTCAAGTATATGAAATACACAAAATATTTAACCGTCTGCAACATCATAGCAATCTAAGGAAGATTGTATTGTAAAAAATAAAAGGGGGGGACAATCACATGGTGGAAGAGGTGTAAGTGTCAGGAAGTGACGTCAACCACGGTGATTCAACAGAAACTCTCTATCATGAAGAGTTTTACATGATAGTAAAATATTAACTGGTTTCAGTAACAGTCAATCCTGGACAATAGACAATGTATCATCTTCTGCCCCATTGAGACAGATTGAACATTAGCATTTATGTCCAATTTTGATGCCCTTTAAAAGTCAGAATTGCTCCGTACAATCCGATAGATACTCAAAACTTAGAGGGAAAACAATTAAAGGTAACCACAAATAAAAACAAACAAACATGCTGGAATTATGTGAGGTAATTCAAAAATGCCGGGCCAACAAGTGTGACACGAAACATGAGGGGTGTACTGTTATTAGCTCTGGGAAAAGACAAGAGAAGGCTAACACACATACTCAGACAGGATTAATCTCTTCTTATGAGAAATAAATCCTGTCTGCATGGGGCTGTAGTTTAGAATTGTCCAAAGGCTGAGTCAATTAGATTCAAAACGTTTTTTTTTTTAATTATCTAAAAAAATTATTAGAGTAAACAAATCCATTTCCATACAATAAAATTGTCTCATTCCAGGATTGGGCTCATTTTCACGTCATGGGCAAAATGATAATCCACCATACAAAAGATGTTACAACTACTCTAAATGTACACTTGACGTGATGGGTGTAAGGACTGTGAGTAACACTAACTTAGGGAGGACACAGCTAATAATCTGAACAAAAGACAGTGCTAAAGACTAAAAGGGGGTTCCTAAGAATGACCAGTGTGGTGGGGGGAGGGAGGAAGAAGAGGGCTAGCGATGAATTGAGTGGAAGTACCGCTTGGTGTGAAGTCCTCTAACGGTATGGCCTGGAGGTGACTAGCAGTCTTCCCCCTGTAGCTCAGGAGCTTTGGTGGGTTACCTGCGCCAATGACCTCCTCGATCTTCACGCAGGACACGTCAATCTCCTTGGCAAATTCGCGCACTGCCTCATTGGGGTCCTCATACGTGAAGGGGTCTATGTAGACCTTCATTCCCGGCGTTACTATTGGGGATTCAGTGGCAGGAACGGGAAAGTGAATATATGCGACTAGACTAAGTTAGCTTAACCAATATCTCAATGTAATCATTACTAAATAAGGTAATATTGATGGATGTGAAATAAAAACAAACAATGTTATCTTAGCAAAGAGACTTACTGTACTGTTGCAGTTTCTCCGTGTATTCTGACTCTGAACCATTTCTCTGTTTTCTGTGAACAAAAGATGGAAAAAACTCAATTATAAAGACCAAGTAGGGTATAAATACTATAGGAGAGAAAAAGGCTGTGTGATATAACGGATCTTTTGTTTATCTTTGTTTATTGCCTGCAATATAGCCACACTGTGCTTTGGAACTGGCCATATGTTCAGTCTCTTTACACCAGAGGCGAAGGATACATTGATAAGGATGTGTTCATCTTTAGTTTTACAATGACTCGTACTGGAAGACTATAATGCGATTCTTAACAAAAGGATATTATGCCATTGTCTGAAGCAGGAAGAGAAAACCATTTACTTTCAGTACCAGCTAAATGAATGCCCCCAAAAAAAGAAAGTCTCAAACAGCAATAAAAGCTCTGTCACCTTCCTCACACTATAGACAACACACTATTTCTCCCAATTCAATCTAAATCTTACGGTCTGGTAGTACACACTGGCTCTCTTGTTGGCCATCTCTCCATCTATCTTTTCTTTCCTTTTTTGTGCATTCTTTTTCTATTGTTCACATGTGTCTCGGTTTGTATAGTCTCACCTTCAGCACAGGTCCCCTCTGCACTGTGGTGGGGCGGGAGCCACAGAATAGGGGCTGGTATGTTTAAATTACATGTTAATGTGCTTCCTTTGTTGTCTATCCAGTAACCGGGACAGAAAAAAAAAAAAAAACCCAATGGTAATTTGCATCTTATTTTAAATTCTAATTCTGTTCTAGTATAAGCAGAAGCTCTGCGTTCCATATTATTACTATTTTCTTCTGCCTCTTTAGTGGCAGTCAAAACGACAGCTAAGCCAAGACCCTGAGAGAGACACAATGTAGTGGTGTGAAAATAGAAGGAGCAAAGAGGCAGGAGGGAGAAGGAGAGGAGGGGGATCAGTGAGATTATTATTCAGTCTAGCGTGACCGATGCCCACGCTTGTCAGCCGCTGCCTGAACTGGCTTGTAGAGGGAACCCAGTGGGCGCCAGTCAGCAATGAGTGCCAACCTTTCACACATACTCATAGACACACAAACACACACACACTGCTTTTGCTGTTGGACAAATGAGCTGTGTAAGAATAAACAAGTGCGTTCGTCCTAGCTGATTCTGAGACTTTTTGAAAGGTCTGAGTGGCCGTTCCCATCGGTCCAGTCAGTTCGGCTTAATGGACGGGGTAACATCTGGGATCTTAGCGGTCAGGCAACTGCACTTTTTGATTCTCAGTGCTGGGCCATGAGGGCAGGCCTATCGGGCCCAACAGCTGCTGCGCCATGCTGCGTCCAGCGAGTAAAAAAGCATTTTGTCCAAAGCTGTTTACTATTCAGAGATTCAAAAAGCTAATCTGGCATTCTGAGTCCACACAGGTGGTGCAGAATCCGCTGAGACTGTTCTGGGGAGGTTTGGAGGACATGCAAACAAAGTTGACATTTGACATTCTCTTGCTTTTTTTTTCTGGGCTTCAAGCATAAATATCACCCACAAATGTCCATTTATGCTCCCGCAAATTAAATACATCTGTAAGAGTTTTGAAATCCAGCTTTTTTTATACAATTTGCAAAGATTGCGTATTTCACTATTTTAAAAGTTATTTTCCTACCTGAGGCAGACAATAGCGATGACTACAACTGCAATGATGAAGACCAAGGTGGCGGTGGCTGATCCAATAATGAGAGGCAGTTGCTCCTGCAATGACTTAGGTGGGTCAGCTGTAGATGTAAATATGGAGAAAACATTAGGTTTTTGAACATGCACAAGAGCAAAAACTGCTAAGAAACAGTATATCACTGGGTAATGAACAAGTTATGAGAGTAAAGTACTTTGCAAGTTGGTGCTGAAATCCGCTGGATTGCTGTAACGCCCATAACCAGCAACCGTCCGGGCACGGACCTGGACCACATAGGGCGTCCCAGCCTTTAGACCCTCAATGCGGGCATTGCTGCGTTGGGCAGTCATGGTGTGGGCAATGGCCTCACCCTGATCCTACAGCAGAAAAGACAAGAGAACAAAATTATGAGTTTATAACAGCACCCATTCGACGTAATCACTCTTATCTTTCAACCACCCTGGGATAGTTGGACACTGGTCTGACCATGCAGACGGGTGAAAAAACACATGGAAATAAGAAAAGATGACAAACAGGACAGATAAACACAGAGTGCTGTTGTCTTTTTCCCCCCAAAGCAGAGCCAATAAGAATTCTGTGAACCTGTAGAAAAAAATGCAAGCTTTTCTAATGCATGGACTGAGAGAGCGAGCAGAGGAGAGAGCTGGGGGTAAAAGGTATGCAAAAAAGGGCAGAGCATAATAGAAATCTGGGAAAGGATCGGGGGGAAAGAAAAGCAAAAGGGGACAAAGAACTGACGCATTGAAAGTGGAGAATAAAACGTGGGGAATGCTCATGGAAGAATGAAAGCGGTGACTTGCCTCACAGCAACCATGTGTTTATCAGGGGAGGCATTGTTTTCCACATTTAAGGAACATGGATAAAACAGAGACCATGCAAGTCACTGAAATTGGATTGAATTAGACATTGCTGCTTACCTTCTCATGGTATTTAATCTCATAATCCAGAATGATTCCGTTGGGTTTTTCTGGAGGAAGCCAGGACAGGCTCATGGTACTCGCCGTGGCCGCCATCAGGTGGACTGTGGGCACTGCAGACGGAGCTGGACAGAAAAAATGAATCCCATTCTTAGTTTTTCTTTTTTTCCTATCATAATCTGTCCTTGTCTTTTGAAGCTCTGTGCCCTTTGTTCGTCCACAGGCGTCCAAACACAAAGTCTGACTCTTTGAGCTTTGCGAAAAGCTTTGGTTATTTGTTAGTATGCACAACCACTCCCCACTTATGCCTAAATTCTCCCTCACAGCATCTTAGGGGGAGGAAGAGAGATCTGTAGCTCTCCTGTGGCATGAAAAGAATAAAAAAACGTGGCCAATCGAGAAGTTTTTGGTAGAATAGAGTTTCCTGTCATACAGCAGGAAAGGTTATGAAATGAGCACACACATACAGGAACAGACTATTCATGCCAAGATAATACACACAGTAGATAATATTGACAGACTGATAAGAAAATATGTAACTACATATTTGATGAATGAGATTTGCTCACCATCATGTTTAAATGCATTGGCTGGTTTGGGGCACAGCATTCCAGTGTGTATGAAACAGCCCGGCGCTCCACCCTTTTGAGCTTTCCATGTTTTGTTCGCATGTGCCCATTAAGAGCGCTGTCTGCCCCCTGTTTCTCTTCCTATTCTTTAAGTTCAGGCTTGTTCTGTGCCTCTGACTCATTCTCCTCTCTGCTTTTGTCTCAAAACTTCCACTGTCTAGCTCTCTATGACTCCACAACTTCAAAGATTAAGGTCCATGCTTTTACGTTCACACAGAATCACCCCTTGTTATTTGTTTTCATTTTCCTAAGTCCTCTTTTTTCAACACTCAGAATCTTTCAATTCTTTGTTAAATAGCTAAGTTTTGAAGTAATAGAATTTATTCTCAAGGTTTGCTGTCTAAAAATGTTATATAATTTGTGAAGGATCAGATAAGAAGCTGAATTGAAAAAGTGGACTGTGATAATGTTGAGATGTTCAAAACTGACCTCTGTTCATGGAAAGAGGTTGGTGTGAATATAATTTTGGACACTCTACTTGAGCAAGGATTTCTCTTTTTGTTCTTTCACAACCCAGATCATATTGTTTTTTTTTTTAAAAGCTCTTAGTTCCCCCAGGTTCTCCCCTCTCCATATAATACAGTGCCTGTGCTTTGGAGAAGAAAGCCCTCTGTTTCTCTCTCCCACTTTGGCTCTGGATCTTCACCTTCTTAGGGTCTATCCCTTCCCCGCCACCCCCGTCTATCCATGTCTCTCTCTTTCTCCTAAAGGAGACAATACTTCCTAAGCAGAAGCCCTGGTTACTCTAGCCGAGGGATTAGGGGCCCTCCTATGGGAGAAGATGTTGCAGTTACCATGGAGGTGGTCCCTGGGGCTTATCACCACCTTTAGTATTTATTTAGGTTCTTAAAAGGTGAATACATATGCGGGGATGGCCTTAAGACTACACAAATGGATAATCTGATCACAGTTGATTCTCCCTTGCCCCATCCTTTCCCTTGACTGCTCTCTGCGCATGCAGCTGACCTCGAGCAGCGACTGGTGGACAGTTGTTCCTGTTAGCCCTGTGCCAGACCCCCTCAAAAACAAAGGGGCCTTTGCATGGGGCTGTGGGGTCTCGGGGTCCTAGACCCACAAAGAGAAAGCATTCCAAAAGCATCTTTTAGGGAGGAGGCGCACAAGGTTAGAGGTGAGGAGGACAAGGCCATGGGGAGAAGAGAAGGGGGGAGGAGCAAAGCATAATCTCTGGTGTTGACTGAGCCACCCGAGAATGCAAATTTAACATAGCGGCTAAACTCACCCAATGCACAATTTAGGAGCCCTGGGAGATTATCAATAGGGAGACGCACTCTTTAGAATAAAAACAATGAATAAGGCCAACACGGTGCATGGACCCCAGAAAAATAAGGAAATTACTAAATAATTTCTTAAGAGTTCCTATATTAAAACTATTTGAATTGCCTTTAAAAAATCTTTAACCCCTACAAATTCCACACTGTTATCCTCATTTATACCAAGATGAGCTTGAAAAAAACATTTTCATTGCAGCTTTGATTGCAATATTGTCCTGTTTATTGCTTTGGCTTTAGCTGGAGGAGCGGTGGGTTGAAACAGTGGGCAGCTAGAACACTGGGGGTTTAACACTTCGAATACACACTGCCTTGCTATTTCTATTTGCAGCAGTGTAAGTACAGAGCTAGCTGTGGGAGTGTGAAAAAGGTCCCTGTCTAAGCTCATTCAAAAACGTCTTCCTTCTCAATCCTTGTTGAGAAAAAGGAATATATAACACACTCCTACATACATAGAAGGGATTCATCCATACTTCTTAGGCCTTGAGCGTTTTTTCTGACATTTTTTTTTCTATATATCTTTTTCCAGATTCTGAAATACAGCATTGCCCCACAAGTTCACGACTTACTCCAAGTAGACTGTCTGCTGCTGCTGAACTCACCGGCCTGATTGGTGGTGATGTTCACAGTCGAGAACTGGGGTACATAGGGGCTTTTATTGGAGACACCATTGACCGCCTGGATCTCAAAGCTGTACTGCGTGTGCGCCTGTAGGTTCCGGACGGCGACGCGGCGCTGGGTCAGGCCCAAGTGGCGCGGAGAAATGTCCACGTTGTCGTCGCACCGCGAGCACATTCCCCGTTCTGGGAGGCACTTCTTACAGATGACGTTGTAGAAGATGTCCTCACGCCCACCCAGTTCCCGGGGCTCACTCCACTCCAGTAACAGAAAGGTTTCGTTCACAATGGAGATGACGCTCCGCGGGGCGGATGGAACAGCTGAGAAAGAGGGGAAAATGCAGGTGAGACGAGGAAAATAGTTTGGGATTTAAATCAAATTTAATCCCCAGGCACAATAGGTGTAAAAAAAAAAATCCCTTTCGTGACAGTACAGAAAAACATCCGCGAAAGAAAGAAAATTCATTTTGTAACCACAGTTAACATATCATTTTATACACATGCATTCATTATTCTATACAAGCTTTCAACAATTCATGAACCAATCATTCCCCCTGTGCTGTGCTATTAATACTTTTTTCGTGCATTAACTATAACATCTTTATTACGTATAACAAGACACTGTTCCAGCAGTTCTTCATATAAAAAGGACAGTTTTACATTTGAATTGCACACACATTTCTGTGTGTGTGTGCGTGTGTAAAGGGCTGTGAAGAACAAGTGAGACAAACTTTTGGCAGAACCGCTGCAATTCTTATCCAATTACCAGAGCCTTATCTTCCCTGTGCTGTGGGAGAATCGGATCCACATCCCAGCGACAGAAAAAAAAAAGGAACTTTGCCTGTATAGAATGAATTTGCTTGTACGTCTGCATATTTGTTTTTAATGAAGCCGCAGCTATAAGAAAACAGAATGTTCCACTTTTTGTCTTTAGAACTGGGAACTGAGGCCACATGGACTTCACAGGCAGATGGGAGGGGAAGAGCGAGGATGATAAAATTCTGATAACACTGGGAAACTAAGCAGCTGTGTTTGCCACACGTGTGACAAGGTGGGAATGTTGTCTCAGACTTTTTATTTGTTGCTGAGGGCTCAATTGAAAGAGTACATTTTTTCTATACTTAAATCTTTTACTTTTTGACCAAATATCCATTCTTTTTTTTCTTTTTTTTTTTATGTGCTGCATAAATATATTTCTAAAACATAGAGAAGCAAAGTAGATGATTCATTTCCTAAAAAAAGGGAAGTATAACACGTGATCACTACAGCAGATAACATGATAATGTTTGAAAAAGTCTTCACTTACTTGTACATGGGGACTCCGGAGAATCGGTGTCTGAGCGGTAAAAACCGTTTCGACACGAGCAAATGCTTGACGCTCCGGAAGTTGCACGGCTGTTTTCTGGGCATGGAAAACAGAGTTCGTCCCCTTGTTTGGACTTGAAGCTGCCGGGGCTGCAAGCTGATGGTATAAAAAGAAGGGAATTACTTTCAACGAAAACCTGAACTGCTTTCAAAGGAAGTCCCTTTGAAACTAGATTTTACATGACAAATGGCTGATGTTTTATTCCTAAAGTGGAACTAGTTTCATTTTGAGACAAGGCATACAGTCAAATTTTATCTGAAGTGGATTTTAATGCTGCATGACCAACATTTAAATGTTGCACAAGCTGTGCGCCTAAAATGACTCGCTTTTTAACATTAAAACATTTGAATGCATGCTGAGACCACCTGTCAACAAGCCAGAAACAGAATTCTGTCAAAGTTCAAAAGCTTTACAGGAAGAAAATATCTACTAACATAATTTTACCAGCGGCTCAATTAAGTAAAACATCGTTAATCAGCTAAAAAAAGAAAACCTTCAATCCTTTGAAATAGTCTTGTCCCCGTTTGTATTATCGCAGCTGTTTGGGACTTTATAACTCCAGAGATAAGCTCCAGCCAGAGAAGCCGTATTAGCGGCACTGTGTTGCAGAGCACTTTGTCAGGCTCCATATCTTTCATAAACTGTCTTGTTAAAAGATGAATGAGTTTGCCGCGGTGCTTAATAAAAACGACAGCAGCAGGTAAGGCAGGCAAAGTTTACTGGGGACAGTTGATTAGCTGACCCACTAGCGCAGTGGCTCGTCAATGTCAAGGACACACTGTGAGGTTGGTCCCCCTGAATGGTAATTATCACATAGCTTCTGTGCTTGATTTATTCTGCCCATTTAAAAAAAAAAAAAAGAAAAGGGCTGGAGGTCAATCTAAAAAGGGGCACTGGCTGCCCATGCTGTTCTCCCGTTTTGAAAGTTCAATATTAACTCAGAACCACCAGTCGGCTGTGCTCTGCACATTACCACTAAGTGTATTTGTTTTTCCACCATTAATCAGAGTCATCATGCTGCTGTTGGCTAACAGGAAGTCCTTCTTGATAAATAGTTCACCGTGAATTCGACTAGGTGATAGTTTATCTGTATCGCAACCCGGTTCACTGAACAGGGGACAGGTATTTCTCAACTCACAATGTTTCACATATTCTCACAGTTTGTGAACACGTTGGTCTGACCACAGATATTGAGGGAGCTTTACCGCTAAAAGAGCCTATTTTTCTCATTCACAAAAAAAAAAAGAAAAGGCACAAAGTGCTGATCAATCACTTCCAGTGAGTTAAGGGGTTGTCCTTTGCCTTTCATCCATTTTTTCCCTTAGTGGAACCATTAAAGAATGAAGCAGCAGGACTGACAAGGAGGCAGAGAAAATGAGGGAGGGAGAGGTGGAGGCATAGAAAATGCTAATCCTGTTGAGCTTCCCTTCCCACCCCACACAGACACACACACATACTTGCTCACTCCCCTGTGTCTCAACCTCTCATGCAGAACATGGAGCTTAAGGAAATGATTAGAATTTATGCTGAAATTGGAAAGTGTGAGGCGCGAAAAAAAAAAGCCAAGAGTATTGGGGGTGAAAAATGAGTGGACAGGCAAAAAAAAAAAGGCCCATCGATAAATATTAATGCTGACATCCTAACTATATCTCTGGTGGCTTATTAATGAGAGTAACGGCCTTCAGATTAGGAAGGAACGACAGAAGTGAGGAAGAGAATACAGCATGTTGGAACAGGGACAAAACAGCCAAGAAAAGAGGTGAAACAATTAAAAGGTGACTAGAAATGAGTGTGATGTTAAGAAAATGGGGGGATGGGAAAAGTTATAGAACAAACTAGAAGAGGTGATTTGAAAAAAGAAGAAAGAGATACATTTATCCCTTGTGGTTTCCAGCGATTAGAGCGTGTTTTATCAGCTCCAAGTCACCAAAGCTTTAACCTTGAGCTGCCAGGAGCAAACAAATGAGTTTTTAACCACATCCACTGTGCTGTGGATTTTCTATGTCTCCCTTTCACACACATATACTCTCTCTTTCTAAAAGGTGAGCGCATATTCAGAATCCAGCCTGTGCCAGGAGCTGTCAGTATAAAGTCTCCAACCGTTATCTGCCTGATCATGAGTATGGATTTTGAAGGAGAAAAAAAAGCTCTACAAGAAAAAGAAAGAGTTCTCTGAAACCGGGCATGCAAGGATGACGCACAAACCACACACAAACTCAACATGCACAGATGCAGTGCAATCATCTCCTGCTGATCAATAATCCAGCCAGCTCCCGTCTCTTTCTCGCTCATTCTGCTGTCTCCGTTTGACCTAAGCACCCTGAGCCCAATTTTACGCCCTCATACCCCTCAGCACACACACACACACACACACACTCTGAGTTTCCATTTATCCCCTTCATTCTTCTCCTGCTGTCACCTGCACTCCATGTCAGTCAAGACCACGCTGTTAAATTTCACCTTTATCTCAACCTCTGTGAACCCGTCATGTTTTCCATCACACCCGAAACCATCAGCATACCAGCTTTTCTAAACAGACAGTGTAAGCTGCATTTCCATTTAGTAACCAACCAGCTGCAAGACAAAACTATAGGTCAGAGGAGTGAAAAACCGGCCAGCTGACAGTGTCATTGTATATGTTTTGTTCTAGCTCGCAATCACCGGATTAGTGTGTCCAATAGAGCTAGTTAAATACATGACTGATGGTACTGCGGCAATCTGGCAAAAAAGACAGGAACTCATTGCCAGACCAGTCCAGTCTGGACCAAATCTCAGTAAAAATGTTATTTCCACATTAGTCATGAGTCCAGTTGAAATGTCCTTCAGCAAGACTCGCTCTCAGCGGGATAAGGAAATTACCCCAGCCTCGTGATCATCCTCCAGGCAACCAAAAATTGAGCATAAAACACAAAATAGGTCAGTGTTCTGAAAAGGCTTAGCTTGAACTGTGCGTGCCCTCTAGAAGGATATCTACGTTCTAAATCAATCAGCACAAACAAAGAGTGTCTTGCATTTTTTTAATCCACCTCCACAGACTGTGAATTACCGAATCCTGGAATGGCATAAAGTACTTGTTGTGAAGGGAAAAAAAAAACCCACCTTGACACTGCGTTGCCTTCATGGCTGGTTCAAAACCAGCTGAGCAGGTACAGGCTCCTACAGGAACCATCCACTCTCCATCTCCGTTGCAGTAGAGCTTAAGAGGCACAGACACCTCCAGGGCATTGGGCACACAGGTTCCTGGTGCAATGACCAGGGAGGTTGCCTCAGCCCCGGTCGCTGTCTCTGGGAAAACGGCGAAGTTGGCGATCGTGGTGGAGCACTTCTTGTAAAACACCCGCACTGTGATGAGGGACATGCAGGCCCCGAGGTCCTGGAAGGCCAAGTAGAACCCGGCTTTGGAGAGTGGCCCGAAACTGCGGACTTTTGTGTTCACTCGACCCGACTCCAGCATTGAGAAGCTCTCGTCCGGAGCAATGGTGTCCACCTTCACATAGGGGTTCTCCATCCAGAAAGGGCTCGTGGCCGTGGCTGAATCTGAGTCAGACTCATAGTAGAAGAGGTTGAAGGTCTCTTTGCAAGAACCTGGTATGTTGGGAATGCTGTTGCAGTCACGAACAGTGAATTTCATTTCCACATATACGCGCAGTACGTCTTTACGTGGGATGAAGTCACTACGAAGCCAGTTATTCTGGTTGAGTTCCCGTACGTTACAGACTTGGTACGTCCGAATAGGGTTCATGGCATCATCGTAGCCGCTCACCTCTTCCCACTGAAAACAGAGAAGATGAGAAGTGTTAACAATTGAAGGGGCTTGCCTTTTTTTATTTGGATGAGGTCGACAAAATAATGTTGCCTAAAAAAAGAAATGGTTACAAACAAATGATATAATAGGAAATAGGCTGCCAGAAAAGAAGGGGGTGCTATTCCTGGTGCAAATCTTACTTCCATTTCCCTCCTTTTGCCATAATGTGTCTTTCAACTCTGGTTAGTGTAGCTAAAAGGCATGGACAAGGACTGCAAATTTATCACAATTACGGCAACCTGTCACCTCTTCGCCACAGAGCCACCACAGCATGTTTATCTCATATCTGTTTGGAACTAGAAGCCACATTGCTTCACAACCAATTACGCTTCAATTACAGAGCAACGACTGCAACGTCCTCTAATGAAGGCTGCAAAAGCGGCAGTTAACCTTCATGCTTTTTTAGTTTTTACAATCCTCTACATCTTTTAATGCAACTAGAGTACCCAAGGGGTGAATTACTTTGAATAAAATCTGATTAAATTTCCTCACTTTCATTACCAGCTTCATTAAATGAGAGCAAACAAACTGAATCGCAATATTTCACTGTGGAAAATAGTAAAGTATTTTCATTCTCAGATGGGGACAACAAGGTTAAATCGTGTCATTTCAAACAGCAGTGTGTAAGAATAAAATATATTCTGGCGTCTGTGAATGCTGTGGGATGTGTTCCCCTTCTTTATAACATTTCACTGGAAGCAGTTGTATTTGATTTGGAGATAACAAACTCATTGACAACTCGACAGAAGTTATTTGTGTAATACTGGCAAATATGTTGACGAATAGATTCAATAATATAGATGTTAAATGTTAATATATGTTAAAACAGTTGAATTGAAGAGGTTTTAACAAAGACCTGAAAAGGGTACACTGGCATGCTTATAACAAAAGTAAACAGTAATGGTTGCACTGATGCAACTAAACTTAACCTATAACATTTGACTTTTTCATAAGTCATCTACAGAAGTAAGTAGTTCCTTAGGTTATTTCATCTCTACTTGATCTCTGGGCATCTTAATTAGGAGTGTGATATGGATGTGGAAGAGACATAGCTATTCATCTATGACTCTGGAGGCCATAAGGGAGCGAGAGAGAGAATGGGTGTAGTTTGGCAGTGGCATTAAAACGATGGCGAGCAAAGGAGGAAGGGACCAGGGGGAATCGATAATCACCAGCTAGGTCAATGGGATGGCTAAAAGCATGAGGTGTCAATGGCTGTTTAGCCGAGTGTAATAAATCATCCTCTGAAAAACAATGCCGCGGTCAAGTGTTTAGGGTTGTGTGCATGTTGTCGGGTGTTTGTGGTAGTGTGAGTCAATCTGCCTCAGCCTGTACTTTCTGTCTGTGTTTGTCTGAGTTTGAGTATCTGTGAACTAAGAAAGGGAATGTCCCATAAGGTATGCATCAGTGGGCCAACACTCTAGATAGACTCTAGAATGAATAGATAAAACAAGTTTATTAAAAAAAAGAGAAAAAAAAGGAAGATCTTGGAATCAATTTCCATCAAGACTTGGAGTCATGCATTTGGCAATCACTGTTATTTTCTTTGTTTTATTGCCAGTCAACCTTTAAAATTTACTTTCAGATGACAACGAACAATGCCTAATTGATGAGCCATGCCCCTCCTTAAATTTCTAAAATGCAGCTGGAAAAATATGTTATGCAATATCTTGGCAAAACAACCATTCTTTGGCACAAACTATGAAAGTGAATATAGTGCAGAGAGACTAAGTACAGCTTTTTGTCTTAGGCAAAGTAGACTTTTGATACATCCTATGGCTATTTAAAGGATCAGTTTCGCTACGAAGCCGGCAAAAGCTCTCAATGCTGTCATCTTGGTTTGCCAATATAAGAGTGATAGGTAGATTAACTGTAAATCAACCTATCACTCAAAAACAGGAAGTTGATTTGTTGTCGTGAGTATTGGTTGTAAATAATCTTTTCTTATTAGCAGAACTTTCTACATTAGCAAACTTGAGCCTGACTTATTGTGCCACGTTATGTTCCTATGATATCAGACATGAAAGGTATTTTTGGGAGTGTGAACAAAATTATTAATAATAACACTTTTCTGTGATGATCGATTTACACATTTCTGAATTTGGGCAGAGAAAAAGCTTGGAGCAAATTCGAGACGTCTCAAAGAAGAGAGCAAGAATAAATTGCTTTTCTGAGATGTGAACTTGATGTTGTAACTCACGGTTCAGAGGAATGCAAAAAAACAGTGTTGCTTAGCAATGACATGTTTTGTGCTTTTAAACTGGACTGAATAAAAAAACGCTTCATATATCAGCCCAGACTTCAAAACTTTGTTTGTGAGAAATTATTTTCTTTATTATTCTTATATATAATCGTGCCTGTTTATAAGATGTAAACAGCATAATTTAACAACAAGGCCTATGGACAGCTTATGCACATTTAATGTTTTGAACTAGATTTCTACACCACACACTCCAGGGTTAAGATTATGTAGTTTTCTTATTTATAACATATCCAACAATCGTTAGAAAAAAAAAAGGTATACGGTAACATTTGTGAGTAGCCCTGTTTTGTGGAATTTCCCTTTCATCTCCCATCTGATCTAGGAACATTAATGATAAAGCCTGTGAACAAAGCTTCACACAGAATGTCTCATAAAAAAAGGTGCAGTTATCCTACAGCTGGTCATGTTGCTTGTTATTTGTAAGCCTTTTGGAGTTTTGCATGTAATTTCACTTTATGTGGTGCGAGAGAACAGGACACCCAGTCCTGTACTTTTACCCTGACCCTAATCATCTGGGGTGTTATTTCAACATTGTAAAATGACAAAGCCAGAACTTCGGTGCCATGTTCATGATGGTACCGAAGAAAAATGTAAAACTGGAAATCCAAGTTTAAAATACAAGTACACCTCAAAACAAGCGTGCACATGATGAAATACACGTACATACTAAGATAGAAACTAACTTAAATGCTCGAGGGTAGCCCGTGAGACTGTGGAATGTACATGCCAATGAAAGGCTCTTAATACAGTATGCAGAAACATGTACATACAACAGAATGAACAAATGTGGTTTGTTAAGACATTTCCCTGCAGTCATTTATACATAAACAAGTATCTCATATACAGCCTTTCAATATATGTCATATTTTGCACTGAAAAATACAAATCTTGTGATCCACACTTGACTGTAAAGTATGTAAAATTAGTGAAAGAGTTTATTATTTTCGTTTATTCTCTTTTTCTTCCTGGCTGGATTTTCCTTTATCTCTATCTCAATGCCCCCTCTCCCTTTCAGGCTTGCGCTGTATGGTTTGTTTGTCCTCTGAGGCAATGTATCACTTCCTCTTAAATACTCCTCATCCATACAAAAACAGGCTGCTTCTTTCCTGTTGCATCACTGTGAGAGCACACAAACTATCCCGCATGTTATACAGTGTGCACAGAGGCAGAAACAAGTCAACAGAAACGATTGGTTGTCATTCGTTCATGCGTATGTTTGTGTGCATGTGCTTGTGTGCGTGAGCAAGGTAAAAAAAATAACGAAGGGGGAAAAATGGGTAAAATAAGATCAGGAAGGACTGGCACCGTTTTGGTCATACTCAGCTGCCATACAAATAAAAAAAGGAGCCTGGATGGCGACTGTTGAAAGTTTAATTGAAAAAGAATGAACGTGTTATTTTTTGCTAGTTCGTTTTTCCTTCTGTGCCATGTTTGCTCGGAATTGATGGGACCATCACTGTATCTGAAGCCGAGAAGTGGAACAGGGAACATGGAAGGATGGTGGGGAGAACTGGGAGAGGCCCAAAGAGGGCATGACGGGCTGTGTAAGGGTTTGTCCTACAGATTGTTTACAGCTGAGGTGGCTAATGTGTCTGGCTTCGTCAGTCACCACAAAGCAGGAAAAGAAAAAAAAAAAAAGAGGGGGACGGGTGATTTTGAAAAACTGAAAAAGAATGTCCCTGCATGTGTGTTGGGGTTAGAACAAAGATTTTTTTTTTAAAATTGAGGGCCCATCTCTGAAAACAGTGTCAAGTCAGAAGACCACACAAAGCTCGGGGAGGAGTGCTGGCGCTCTTTGAAGTATAGCTGAGGAGGGGTCAAGACTCTTTCTGCCCCTCCTTAACCCATTGTGGGGACCACATGGGAAAGCACTGTGAGGGCTGTCACTGGCACTTTGTCTGAGGTAGATTGGAGTTCAACGATGTCTGATAGGTCAATGCAGAGAAATATTTCACTTTGTAGGAAAACTGACGCTTTTCCAAAAGTGCAATCATGCAGGATTAACAGAAACATCTGTGACTGGGTGGGGTGTCTTCGGGTAATGTCAAAGTGTCTTACTGAATGTCTATTTGTACATCAAAACCTCTAAAACGAGAAGAACTAATCCAACACACACAAAATCTCTCCTTTTGAATAACACTCAAATGCCATTTGCTCATCATAAACCCAAATGGGCAAAAGAAATACACTAATAATGCCCTGTAAACTTACCCCAGTCTCAGGGTGTGCAGTCCATGCTAATTCTGTCGTGGCCCACTTTGTGTCCATCAATGTCTCTGCAAAAGGAGGCAGAAAGAAAACATCCAGGTCAGACAAAGAGGAACAGGGTGGCGGGAGGTCAACAGAACTTTCAATGGTTTTACAACACTGTCATAAAACTTGTAAAAGGATCCAAGAAACAGATAAGAGGCTTTGACCAAAACTGTTCTCAGATAACACAATGAATAACTGAACAGAGAGGATGGGCTTTGAGTAATATTAGATTCGGACAGACAAAAGGAGCACTGTATGTGTGAGTGTGTGTCTGCGTGTGCAACATGAAAGACCAGAATACAGTGGAAGAGATCTAGGTGGCTGATTTTTGTCAGTTCTCATTGTTGCTCGTCATTTGGCAAATTAGTCCCAATTAGATGCTTGTCTTAAACAGGAGGAAGAAAAACAACGGCAAATCTCACAGAGAAGCTGTTCTGCTTCCCACAGGGCGCTGACACACACAGACATGCAGTGGGCAGCATGTTGTAAAACTCCACGAGATGTTTAACTGAACAGACGGCTTGAATGGGGAGAGAGGTAATAAAATCGGGTATCACAAAAGAGAAACTCTTGAGGGAAACAGTGGATAGAACGACTCAAATGGTTTCACTTTGCGCAAATACATGAAATCTGCACACAGCGAGCTTCTGTCACACCTAGCGCGGACAGTCGTGCAAAATGGTGGACGGGGGACGTCCTGCAGATTCCTTTTCCTTCCCAACTTTTCGTTTCTACTTCAGTGAAAGACGCAAGCGTTGATAGAGAAGGAGAGGGAGACTATAAATGTCGGCTCTTTTACTACCTGGCGCTCAAGGCGCAGTGTGCAGCCACAGTTATTATCTCAACCGCTGTGCTGTTCTACATGATAGTAAAAGATGATGAAACAGCGCAGCCAGAAAGTGAGATTGCACTCACTTGTCTGTCTTCATTGAAAAGAGGTGCGAGATGTTCCATTTTTCCTGCTTTGGTTGCTGGGGATGATTTTGTAGTAGTCTCTCTGTCCATTTTAGTCCTACACCACGTTTTTTTTTTTTAGATATTCTTTAGCCCTGTCTATCTCTTGTATTTTTAAGTATTTTTTTTTTGTTTTGTTTATTTCCTTGGTAAGTTGGTGGGAAATAGAAGGGGTTTAAGAGTATAACCTAAGATTTTACACCCTGTTATTCAGATAGCAGATCACCCATGCTGCATTCATACACTACCAAATACCAACTCTTTATTAACTAGGAAAGGTATTCACTACAGATAAGTTCAGGCAGTGATTACTCTCTGTCTTGGAGTGAATCTGTGAGCCAAATAGGATGCATTCTCATCCATGGTGCCCAGCTTCCATTGTGCACTAATAGGGTTGAATGCTCTGAAACAAATCATGAATCCTTTTGTCTCTTTGTAGTCAAAATCTAAACCGGTTAGTCACTTGTGCAAATTATAGCCTTACTACTGCCTTGATGTCACAGACCGTGCCAGTGCACATTAGTTGCAGGTCCTTCACTTATCCGCACAGTGACAAGGCATGACTAGGGAGTTGCCACTGACAGCTCCACAGGTACATAAGCTGGTGACAAACCCCCCGCCGCCTGGTCTTTATTATTACCACTGAACCGTGTGTAGCAAACAGGACTGTCATTACAGCTGACCCTGCAGAAAAACAGACAAAACCATGAAGCACAATGACAGACAGTGATGGAACAGGAGTGGGAGGCAGAGATGAGATGGAAAGAGCGAGAACCATGGAGCTGAGAGGGTTTATGCAAAGCACACACGCGCAGAAACACACACACAGACACACACACACACCTGTGCAATCTGACTCAGTGGTTTAGGCGGTCGATCATTCTGGAGTGCAGGTGCATCTGTAGCCCCTCCTTTTTCAATGCGTCTGCATTGTTTAACCAAACCAGAGCTGTGTTTGTGCGTCTGTGTCAGAGGGCAATCCTGTGTGTGCGCGTGTGTTTGTGTGTGTTTGTGTGTGTCTATTTGGTGCAAAGCCATGTATTGTGCCCAAAGTGGAGCATCAATCCTGACTGAATGGGCTGGACTGAAAGAAATGGTGGCCCTGAATTGACCTGACTATTCCCTCTCTGTCAGTGTGTGAGCTGCTTTTTTTTTTTTTTTTTGCACACCATGCCTGTTTAGTGTAAACAGGAAAAGTGCAATATTCACGAATGTACGGCAAACTCAAATAATGGTAAAGAGACAGAAAACACAACTAGGCAACCCTTCCTCCCCAAAAAGAAACTACAGAGAATAAAGTGCAATATGTTCCTGAACAAAGCAGCAGCTCTCGGTTTGAAAACAACAGACTTATGCTACGCAGATGATAAAGCACAAGAAGGAGGGAACCTAAGGCACGTTTGGGAGAGAAAGGTATCTTTTAAAAGCAAACAGCCTTATAAATCCTTTAAGAACGTCTTGGCAGACTGCCTAAAGGGCCTGGAAGAGGAAAACAAAAAAAAAAAGAAAAAAGAAATGGTGGAAAGAAAACCAGAAGGACAAGTTGGGGGAGAAACAACTACGCATACCCCTGCACAAAGAACGAAATGGTTTTGTCTTTTTCATCTCTACAAGATTCAACTCTTTCTAATCCTAGAAGTGTAAAATGAGAAGAGGAGTGATCGTGGGTGGGAGGAGGACATGGAGCAGAGAGTAAATCAGGAAAATGAACATGCAAATTCACTGACATAAAATGCACACATGGTGAGAGTGAAAGATGCAGATGAAGGAGCTGTGACTGGATGAGGATGCCCTGGTGCTCTTTTTCCTAACCTCTGTAACATAATTAATCTCATTCTTCTTCCCCCCTTTTCTCTTTCTTTACCTTTTTCCTTAAATATTGGTTTACTCATTCTAAGGCCTGGTCTTTTGTCATCTGTCTCTTTGCCTCTTTCACTTTCTTCCTCCTCTTTCGTGTATCAATATGTCTTTGCTTATGTTTCCCTGCAGCACATTGATGGATGTGACATGCAGCGTGGGACTGTTTTTCAACCACCCATGGCTTATAGGACTATTCAATTAGTAACTCGCTTGTTTGAGCAACCTGAGGATTCACTTTGGTAAACTGTTATTTATGATAGAGGTCAAATGCACCTGGGATTATCCTAACAACTGTGGGGGTGGGGGGTGGCATTTGTTTTCTACTGCGTGCCGTGATTGTGTGAGAAAAACTGTAGAAATACAAACAGGCTTGGGGAGATCATACACAAGCAAATAAATGCGTCCGCGCACATGCATGCACAGGCATACACACACGCAAGCAAAACCAACCCCTACAGACTAATCCCGTAATGACAGGGCAGGCCTAATAACAGGGGAGGGCACCGAAGCAGTCGTCCCCATGGCCTCATCCAGCACTCACGCACACACACACACATAAACACAGCAGCCCGAGTTACAAGCCTCTTAAAATATTTCTTTGTTCAAACAAGCAGACTTCTGAAAAGAAAGAGAAAAAAAAAAACAGGGGGAGCTGAAGGAGGAAAGGGGAAGAGAGGCTATTACTGAGAGACAGGAATGCCTGGTCTTTTTACAACTCCCCAGGTCGCAAAGAGCAGACAGGTGAGGGGTTAAGCTTAGATCTCGCCGCGACTATTTGGGCTTTGCAAGCATACCTGCCTTTGTTAACGTGGTGGCGGCTCAAAGTTACTGTACGTCCCGACAACCCGAAAGCTCACCGAGCGATTTTTCTAAATGTTTAAGCTCATGATGATAGTTTAATCTGAGCTATGTTTTTTTTTTTTATCCTCAAAGTACAAAACAAAATGGCTTCACCTCAGGCACTATCATTACTGCGTTTTTCACATGATTGTTTGAGAAGCTCAAAAGAGAGAAGAGAAATAAAACAAGTAAACTTAAAGCCTCTTAATGGCTCCTTCCTCCAAACTCTTCCCTCAGGGTTCCCCACCAGTTAATTACCTTCTCCCCACCTCTTCCTTAAGTTGCTTTTGTTGTGTTCTTCCACAGTCAAACAAGACTACGCACATGGCGACCTGGCATGGGGTGGCCACTCCATTAAAATACTATGCTGTCTGGTTGCCAAACACTTAAGCCTCTGTTTAGCCACAGAAACAGTGAAATGTGTCAACACTGAGAGCGAGGACCCCACGCTCAACTTATTAGCGCTATTAGCCTGATTGCTTTGTGAGCCATCTTTGTTGGCTCCACTTTTGTTATCCGAGTGTGAAGCTGAGGCAGAGAAAGAGGAAGACAGACACAGAGAGAGAGGGCAAGAGGAGAGATGCTTTTCAAATTCAAATTGTCCGAGCAGTCTTTTTTGCCTTTGTCTGGGGCCAGAGAGCGATGATTAGGAGAAGTCCCCTCCATTTTAGGACAAGGTCCACCCTTTAGCCCCCCCATACACACACACACACACACACACACACACACACACACACACACACACA